ATAAAACAGGAAACAAGATTCTTTATTTGTCACATGCATAGTTATACAAGTACAATACTCAGTGAAATGTATCTAAGCTTACAGCATCTGGTATTACAAAGGCAAACCAGATCCTAAGCTTACCTGGTATAAGGATGGTGTGAAGGTTATGGAGGATGAGGGGACCAAGGTGGAGCAGACAGATAATAGCACCTCATTGGTGCTTAGCAGGTGGATTAAAATAAAGGGTGTCATGCTGTATCATATGCAGATACAGTTGTTTTTTTATTCACTTTGGATGTTTACTTCATGCGTGAGAGAAGATTAGTGGCGCATTTATGCGTTGTCTCAAGAGCGACTGTGGAGCTGCTGTTACTGACCTGCAACTCATTGTGATTGGTGGATGAAATCACACAATCATATTAATTTAAAGCACTTTTTGAAATGGAGGTTTGTATTTAACTAACACATCACTTTCTTTAGACCGCCCAAAGCCTCCTCAAGGGAAAGTTGAGTTTCTTGAGCCGTAAGAGAAGTGTATCAAGATGAAATGGAAGGCTCGAAGTGACAACGGGGGTAAGCAGGTCACCAGTTTTGTGATCGATCGCTGTATGGTAGGCAAGAGGTCCTGGAACAGGGTTGGAGAAGTGGATAGTAGCATTAATGCCTTCACTGATGATAAAGTGGAGGAGGGCCATGCATACTAGCATTGCATCAGGGCCATCAATGAAGAGGGAATGAGTGACCCTCTGGAGACAGAGGAGGCCGTGGTGGAGAGCCCATAGGTGAGCACTAATCATGATCAAAATCAGCCCAAATAGGTCCAACTAGAGGTGAAAGGTAAAGAGAAATGCTTTATGGTTTACAGTTCACTGCAGTTCCACTTCATTGCCATGCTAAAAGTTTCATATCCTGGATTTGAGAGGTCTATTGACATCTGTTTAAAATCCACTTATCCAGAGCCTCCAGGTACAGCATCACAGCCTCATGTGTCTAATTTAACTAAGAACACCATGACAGTGAGTTGGAGTCCTCCAGCCAGTGATGGAGGAGCTTCAGTTCACGGCTACATCTGTGAACTGAGGAGAAATAAAGGCTGCAAATCCATAAGGAGCTACTCACTGGTCAGGCTTGGAGCAGCGTGCCAAGCCAAACAATCTCATGCGTCACTGCAAATTTTTTATTGAAATCAGTGGTACTGTTACAAGCCGAAGTGCCCATTTTAGCATTTTATCTAATAACTCCTGACTCCTAACCTAGCTTCCTTACTGATGCTACATTCACATCTATCACATTCAAGCCTTTATTACTGTTTCTAGAAACCAACTTCATGGTGTGCGGATTGGTGGAAGATATGGGGTATGAGTGACTAGTGTAAACAGGGCTGTTGCAGGCACTCCCAGCAACGTTTCTAATCCCATGCCGGCTAAAAATCCAGCACGTACGTCTTCCCCTCACAGTGTGTTGTTTATTTTTCTCTGACATCTATTCTCCTGAAGAATAACTATGGAGAGGCTCACTATAAAGTCCATGTTAAGGTTATAGGTAAGTGACGAATGCTTCATTATTTACTCCCCACTTTGTCCTTCTTTAATGATTGTAGTCTGTAACAAGAAGTCACTTCAGATCCATTTTTGCTGTTTTTATAGCTTTATACAAACTTCCAGATCTGTCAAGAGAAATTTACAGTAATTTCTTCCTCTTGTTCTCCTGCTGCTGTACTCAGATGTTCCCCAACCGCCAAACAACCTCCAGTTGGTGGAGGAGATCCTGGACACAGTGGCTCTGCAATGGGATCACACCCGTGACCTGGCTGATGAGGATCAGGCAACACATTATGTAGAGCTTCCTGGTTTACTGTGACCGAGTGTGTTTTCATTAGCAAGTACACTGTTACTGGACTGCTTCCAGGAAGGAAGTACTATTTTTAGGGTCACCGCACAGAATTCAGTCGGTGACAGGGATCCCTTAGATTCAAAGCAACCTTTCATCATCGCCAAGGAGAAAGGTAACAGTAGTGTATTTCTCAGTCTCAGTTATTTATGTCTGCTGTGTGTTTCCAAGAGAGCATCAACAGCCTTCAGGGGAAGGAATATGCATTACCTCAAAGTCATGTTAAACTTACTTTCCTGCTGCCGCTGAAGGACTAAGCCGTTCTCAGAGGACATGACTGCAACATGAGCTGTGCCTAACAGGGGCTGCCAACTCCACTGGTATGAAAGACATGGCTACTGATGTCGGCAACCATAATATATGTGAAGCAAAATTTAAAACTTATTTCCTTGACTTATTCGAATAATGGTGTAATTAATCAGCATCTCCTCAGCATTACTAATCGCCTTGAGGCGACTTATGTTGTGATTTGGCGCTATATAAATAAAATTGAATTGAATTGAATTGAAAACATCTGTGCGTACAATCTTTGTACACACAGATGTTTACTTCTGTTGCCCACAAGTAAAAAAAATCTCCCCTTTGTAGGTTTGCTGGTTTCAAGGGGAATCCGTGATCTCTGATTCCACTCACTTTTGGCACCGCACAGTTAATGGAGTGTGCACTCTAGTCATCCCCACTTGTGGAGCTCAAGACAATGTAGAATACATTCTGGTGCTGGAAAACCCTCTGGGGATGGTCAAGTGTACCTGTAACCTAGTAGTGTATGGTAGGTTCTACAATGAGAGAGGGTGGAGGGTGAAATAATTAATAATTTATAATGATATTACCTTACTAAATATATATCTATATGTTAGGACTTTCAGATAAAGATGACAAG